GGAGAAAGCCCATTGTTGGTGATCACATCAGGAGATCCGTTTTTCTTTGGTTTTGGTAATACACTGAAGCGATTATTACCAGAGGTAAAGCTTGATATGATTCCATGGTTTTCCAGTATTCAACGCTTGTGCCATAAGGCTCAATTGAATGCGAATGAGTTGACGTCAATTACGCTGCACGGACGTCCATGGAAAGCATTGGATGAAGCTTTGATCAATGGTTGTTCAATGATCGGAGTTCTTACGGATAAAAAGCACTCGCCAAAGTCCATCGCTAAGCGTTTAAAGTTGTTCGGTTTTGAAGATTACAAAATGCTGGTCGGTGAACATTTAGATGGGGAACAGGAACGAATCTCAAGCTTAAGTTTAGACGAAATCGAGGTGCAAGAATTTGCTGCTTTAAATGCTGTCATTCTTCTAAAGAATGGAAATCAGGCAAGGCCGAAATCATTTCCAGATAGTTGTTATCGCACCCTGGAAGGTCGTCCGAGGATGATCACAAAACAGGCACTACGCGCGATAACAATTCAGGCATTACAGCTTTCTGATAAGCATAGTTTTTGGGATGTGGGCGCATGTACTGGCGCGGTAGCAATTGAGTCTAAACAACTGTATCCGGGGTTAGATGTTTCTGCATTCGAAATCAGAGAAGAATGCGATGAAATCATTCACGAGAACGCCCGAAAAACATCAACCCCGGGAATTAAAGTATTCATTGGGGATTTCTTGGAGAAGAATCTGGAAGAGATGGCAGAGCCCGATGCCGTTTTTATTGGCGGTCATGGCGGTCGATTGAAAGAAATGATTGAGCGCATAGATGGCTATTTGTTACCAGGAGGAAGACTAGTGATGAATACAGTTTCGGAGGAATCCAGAACTCGGTTTATTGAAGCAATTCAAGAGCTATCCTATCGAATAGATAACGAAATCGCCATTCAGATAAACGATTACAATAAAATTACCCTTCTGGGGGCAACAAAAACGAGTATATGAAGAAAGTCACATTTATCGCATTTACTGAACAGGGGATTGACTTGGCGGTAACCTTGCAAAAAGAGTATCCAAAATCGTTGGTGGTAACCTCGCACGCTTCGGAGAATGGACATGT